AGGTAGACTGTTACAAATCAAATGGTTTGGCCATGTAACAAGACTGGCATCAGCCAGGACACCACAAAGATAATGTTTCGCAAATACAACAGTAACAGAGCCAGAGGTCGACCACGCAGAATACTGACCGCAGAAATATCAGAGACGGTGGTGACAAGTACAAAGCAAACAGAAGGGCCCATTCCAGAGATCTATTCCTGTCCTGACTCCACGAGGCATTCCAGGAGTAGAGACAAGAAGAAGATGTCTGCAGCCAATGTTTAGTATTCTAAAGTGCCTTTCCTCACATGCAAAGTTTTGAGTTCCCAATCTTGATTTTCTTGTACACTTGGCAGTGGAGTCTGTTGTGTCCAGTTTGCAATCTAATGACTACTGTTTGTCTGTGTTATCATCATCATCATCATGTGCCCTGCCAACTGGCGTAGGCGCTCATGCAACTCCACAGATCACGATCTCTGGTTGACTGGAACAGCTCTCATGATGATATCCCTCCATGCCATCGTTTTAGCCCATCCAGCATCATCTCTCTTGGTCTGCCTCTACCCCTTTTTCTACTGATCTTTCCAGTTGTCACAATGTTCTCCAATGTCTCTCTTCTCATTATGTGGGTAAAGAACAGTGTTTGTCTTTTTCTTATTGTTGTAGATAGATATACTTTCACTAGCCTCTTTCAAGCAATCGCTGCCATTTAGCAGAACAGGTTCTATGTAACATTTTAGCACCCTCCTTCTGACATTAAATGAGAGCCATTTATTGCATATTTTTCATTTTCTGAAATGCAGCTTTCACTTGACCTATTCTGCTTTTAATCTGTCACATATTTTCCATCTGATGATCCGATTGTTCCCAGATATTTGAATTTATTGAATTTTTTTTCTTGCATGTAATTAAATTTTCAGGATTGTGTCCCTAGTTATGAAGTGCTCCAATGGGTTCTAATGGCTGTCTTGATCTGGGTTTTCTCTCTTTAGAAGTACACCCTGCAACTGGCTGTTCTTTATTGCTCCCAATTTCAGCCAAGCAGTCTGCTCTATCATTTCCTATAATATTGCAGAGAGCCAGGATCCACTGGAGAACAATCTGCTTGGTTAGTTAGCCCATCTCAGGTTCTGAAACAGGACTGCAGTCCAGAAATGGAGGAGCAACAAGAACTTTCTCGTCGGAGTTTACAGCCGGTGAATGCAAAGAAGAAGAAGAAGTTAGCATTTCTAATTCAGCAGAGATCGAAGCCTGTTGAACTGAAGTTGCTTATGACTTTGTCTTGCTTGTAATACTCAGTGAGCCACCAGTACAACCCCTTTTTGACTTACAGCTGCATTAAATGAGAAATTTATAGATACTGCTTTCTTTAGCTCTTTGAGTCCCAGGAAACGCATCACGTGCTAATTTTTTCCAATTGACGCGTGACAAGTGAAGGTTTTTAATCTACCATTGACTGATTGTAAAACGCGGACCGCTCAATTTCAACTTCCTGTCGAGTTCTTTGTGTCTGATATCAGGCGTGCTTATTTAGTAACATGATTTGAAAGCCTTAATTATAGTATATTTGTGAAATTTGCTGAGTTAAAAAGTGTTTGTTTGAAAAGAATATGGCCGCCATGCATTATTTTAGATGCATGCCAACATGATTTACGGCTTTAGAAGTCTCAAATTTAAATAAAGTAGGTGTTTATTTGATTTATCCGATGTTAGATAATGTTGCAAATTAGACTTGTTTCAGTCATTTATAGAGTCAAACTTTGATGAGGGATATGTCTAATGTGTATCTCACGCAAAGGGTACAACGATAGCAAAGTCAGCTGGCACAAATAGCATAAACATTAGTGAAAATACGATTTTCTTCAGAGTCAGTTAGTTCTAGTGCTATTCCCCTTATTATTAAGGAACATATCTACAAAATTATAGGCAAAGTGAGTATTATATAAACTTTGTTTTGTATGAAGATACTAGTGGTTTTGGGAGTGAGTTTTCTTTACCAAATAACGGTGCTCTGCTATGTTGCTTCAAAAGATTCTCTGGAACAAAACTTATGTATAGATTGAGTTTATATTTTACTTATACATTACTAAGTGGTTCATATTCATTTGTAATTCATTTTGGATATATTTTAACTAGTTTTCCTTGAGTGCCATGGTGGTAAGTGAAAATTTTTTAAATTTCATTTTACTAATTTTTGTAAACACACTGTCTGTTTATTTACTAATATGTAATTACTAACACAATTATTTGTTGCAGCTGTATTCTAAAATTATTCCTCAACAATCCCTGGTCACTTTGATGTATAATATGTGTATGTTGTGCGGCAACTGAATTAGTATGGTCTGTTTTAATGTGTTACACTTGTGAAATTAAAAAATTGCATTACCACCCCTTGGGCCTTTAATGCTAAACCCCCTGGGACTCAAAGAGTTAATGCCACTGCTTCCGCTTTGTAACTGGAGGAGTGTTTTCCTATCGGCAGACCACATTTTTTTATGCTACCAGTGGTCTACTGAATATGGATACCTCCTTGTGCTACGTGTAAATTTAGATAATAGCTTCTTGTAAATCAATATGTGAAAAAAAAAATCATATTCATATAAAGCAAAGTGAAAGCATCTCAAATGTTTACCCAAAACAGCATGTGAAATAATCACACTTATTCACACAAACCAATTAGTGAAATAATCAGTTATTCACATAAATCAACACATGAAATAATTGCAGTTATTCACATAAACCAACATGTGAAATAATCACAGTTATTCACATAAACCAACATGTGAAATAATCCTAAATGTTGACAATCAACATGTGAAATAATCAGTTATTCACACAAACCAACATGTGAAATAATCCTAGATGTTGACATACATCAACATGTGAAATAATCTCAAATGTTCACATAAACCAACATGTGAAATAATCACTTATTCATATAAACCAACATGTGAAATAATCACTTTTTCACATACAGCAACATGTGAAATAATCTTAAATGTCCACATAAACTAGCATGTGAAATAATTACACTTATTCACATAAAACAACATGTGGAATAATCTTAAATGTTCACATAAACCAACATGTGAAATAATCTTACATGTTCGCATAAACCAACATGTGAAATAATCTTAAATATTCACCTAAATCAACAGGTAAACAAACTACAGTCGAGTCCACTTAAGTCGAACTCGAATGAGTCGAATTTCAGTTAAGTCGACATGACATGCTTAGTCCTGGCAATTTTCTCTATTGTGTGTGCTGTCTGGATAAGTAGAAGTCCTGATAAGTGGAAGCATTTTCTTAGGTCCCTGCGACTTCTACTTATCCAGACTCGACTGTATAAGAAATTCCCAAAATGTTTTAACTCTTGAAATGCCAAGCATGGTGTGATTTGTGATGCTTCCTTCTCATCAGTCCCAAACACCATGCAGAATGTTCTCAAACCAGGACTTTTTTCCTAGACAAAAAAGTGCTGGTACCTATCATAAAGTATCTAAACATGCCACCGGTGTCTCTTACAGTGGCACTGAAAAATTGGCTCCTAAAAAGTACTGTGTATCATTATGTAGCGCCAGGGGACAAAAAAAAAAAAAAGATATGGATCAAACAACGAAAACCTCACAGTCAGGCAACCACAAATATAAAAAGTATTTGTTCATTTTTGTTTGAAATTTTCAGCTAATAATGAAACAGCTGACATCATAACCAGTGGTGGCTTGTAGGCATGCACTGCCGAACTGATCATAACTCCTCAAAACATAAATCATAACAGTAGTGTAGATTAATGACTATTTTCTATTGGTGCAATTTCAATATTAGTTACACAAACAAAAACATGGCTAGCTGTCTGTGAAACTTACAGACAGCCAAAAACTGTAGTCTCTAGTAAAAATATATCTTGCTTAGGGACACGAGTTGCTTACTTCTTCTTTATTCACCCTTCAAAGGAAGTGGCACACAGTGTTGTGGTTTACAGCTTGGCTGCAATAACCACACCTTCCATCCCAACATACCAGTTTGCAGAACATGAATTTCATATTATGATTTTAGGTGGCAGTTTTTGCCGACAATAATAACAGAAACCTGAATTTTGAAATACAGCCTCCACATTGAGGAGCGGGAGTGGAGTGGGGGGGGGGGGCAGGATGGCGGCAAAAAAAGTCTCACTGTCTCCTGAATACGCATGTCAGAGTAGACTAACTGGAGGGTGCAAATGCATAAGAGGTGAGGAACCAACAGTCTGCACACAAATATGCCAGATCTGTGGAACATATGTGAATGCTACACTCAGGTGACTACTAAGAAGAAGATTAATTTACAACAGGTGAAATCTGTTGATATTTATCGCAAACATTTTATTTGAAATATTGGTTTTTAATTTATAACGTACCCCAAACACGAAATTCCCGTGGGAAATCCACAGCTGACCTGACAGTCCATTATTTCAAGGGGTGGAAGTGTGCTGTTGTGTGGTGTTTTTTTTTTTTTTTGAGTGTTCATCTAGTGTCTTCTAATGCTAACCCTAACCCTAAACTTGGCCATGGATAAATCGCGAGAAACTACAACCTGAACACCCTAGAATTTATTGGGAATGTCTACCGTGATGTTGTCGTGACGTCAGGGGTAAGTTATAAATTAAGTACCGAAATATTTGTAGCTGACAATGTTTGTGGACAATATAATAGCACCACTTTCTACACTGAACAACCTCTATCAACATTTCTAGGAACCTGGCATGTGACTGATCTTCACCTGCAGTCCTTTCTGCGCTGCACGTCCAGCTCACGTTTTTCACAGTTAACAAGATCTGCGGTCAGTCTCAGGAGTTTGTATGCACTGTCAGTATTTACTGATTGAAAAGGACAGTATATGTTTTAACAGTAACAATATTTCAGACTTGAGAGGGAACGCAACAGATCCATCTATTTGGACTTTACAACTTCTGAAGAGTTGTGAACCCTGTCTTGTCTACGGTCCAGTCAGTCACGCATGAAGCAATTTGTATTCTCACTTACCACGGGTCTGTTCAGATGTCGAAACATGCCAGACAGCTAAAGTTGGGTTTGATGTGTGTAAAACTGGCCGATGCTAGGGCTCAGGGCTGGACACTGGACAGACGAGACCCTGTAGCTGGCTGGGCTGAGGGTCGTCTGGTCGCACCACCTTTTGACGTCTGACTTAAGATTTTCACTTTTGGTAGCACGGTCAAAGGTCAAAGTGTACTTCCGGGTTATTTTCTGTGACTTGACTTGCTGGAGATTTGTGCAAGGTGCATAACTCTTCAATTTATCACACATTGTGGTGGGGGGAGGGGGGGGGGGGGGGAGTGTTTGGAACTCACAACAGATAACAAGAATATTTATAGGTGGGCACTAAAGAGTCGTTATTTCTCATCCTCCGCCTCCTTCTTTTCTTCTTCTTCTTCTTCTTCTTCTTCTTCTGCTGCTGCTTCTTCTTCTTCTTCTTCTTCTTCTTCTTCTTCTTCTTCTTCTTCTTCTTCTTCTTCTTCTTCTTCTTCTTTCTTCTTATTATTTTGCTTCTTCCTTTATGCACCAATTGGAGATAGTTCCTAAACCATCTCATGCAAACGATCTCCTTAATGTTATTCACAACCCCCCCCCCCCTTCCCCCCCAACCCCCACACTAACTCACACAAGCATACTTTTGTCTTCAATTCTCTTCTCCTATTTTAGACCTATTTATGTCATGTGTCCTGTAGATTCGATGTCAACCTCTTTCAAATTATTCTACCACGTTGTTTCCCGGAGTGTCCTATCCAATGTCAGCGTCTTTCCGTCAGCTTTTCTTCACTGGAAAGTGTTAACTTTTCTCCTCAATGCTATGTTTTCCTCCCTTCTTTCTATTCTGTATATTCACCAGTTAATTAATGTTTCCAGTGATATAGAAGATTATTTAAATATTCTCTCCGTGTGCGTTCCGGCGTCCTATGGGAGGGGGGGGGGTGGTGGAAACGGAAAAAAAGGGGGGGGGGGTGGAACCCACTACACCTATAACAGGCATATAGTACAAAGCGACTAATAACGTTTTCTTCTTAAAGTCCATGCATGTGGCGCTGGTAGTCATGTCTATCCACAACCTTCTGTCTCGTGTACTTTCAGTCAACTCTGACACTGATGATCTTCTATGATGTCAAACTGTCCAGCATCTGTTCTCTACGTCTCTCTCTCTCTCCTTCCCTCAAACATTCCTAACGTCACGATGTACTCCAATTTTCACCTCCTCGTCACATGATGAAAGAATGTAGATTGTTTCTTTCTTATGTGGGCAATCGACTCTCTTCGTAAGTCAGTTTTTTTTTCAAGACCTCTTCGTTACTCATTGAATCTGTCCAGGGTATTGTCATCTTTCGTCTATAAAACCACACCCCCACAGCTTCCAAATAAATTTTCACTAATTTACTAACTGTTCATGATTCTCATCCGTATATCAATATAGGATTAATAACAGTTATGTTGAAATCGGATGTGTTGGACTAAAAGGCGCGGATATCGCAGTCTAGCTGTAAACCACAAGAGAACAGGTGCACAGAAGAAATCGATGTGTCCTCCACTTTTGTCTGCGTCGTTACCTGAAGAGATGTATGATGCTCATACAGGAGAGATCATGTTATAATATGGCCGTTAGCTGGCCGACCGCTGATGCTCTGAAATTTTACTTGTCGCCAGCTATGTCCAACGGTTCTTTCGCCCAGCTTCTCGGCGGAGTGATTGTTGCTGAGGATTTCATGTTGATTGGCCGGGGGTGGGGTGGGGGTGGGGTGGGGGCGGGGCGGGGTGAATGCCAGTATGACTGATTATTTCCAGAATAGCCTGTACCCTTTTCTGCTTCTTCTTCTCTTCCACCTTGTACCTCGATGGAGTGTCAAGGGAGATGTAACATTCGTTGATGAGCTCTCTCAAGAGCACTATTAAGATTGATGTTCATTTCTGTAAGGCTTTGTACCTTTCGGGTGAAATGTCAGGTTTCATAATTGACCCCCAGCGCCAAAGGTGACCTGCAATTCTGGTGTGGGGTCGTACGTGCTGGCTCATATGACAACTGCCTTATACATTCTTACTTTGCTTGTGCAGGCTTCAAGTTTTTGCTGGAACTGACACGTGTTGTCACTACTCTTCAAATGATACAGTGAAAGACTGTGTGATTTCCAATGCCACAGGAACGGAGCAGGTTGAGGTAGACCCATCTGCAGTGATATTGGAACATCAACTAACAACCAAAGGACCTTTTTTTTCACCTTTCAGGTGTATTGGGCATATAAGGCGAGACCTTTTTTTAAAGACCAGTCGGCGCTCGGTGAGTGATGTGATCAGCATCACTCCGACACCTTTACATCCCAGGACTTTTTCCATGGTACTCATGAAAGCCTGAGTGAAGCTGGGAACCAAGGTCATTTTTTAAGAAGAAAAACAAGTCCAGCTCCTTCAGGACCTGAGCCCATTTCATTTGGATCCGCAGCCGAGCGTCTAGCCGCTACATCAAGGTGGCTCTCAAACTAATGACTAACAATTAATTAATTGTAACTACAGTGGCCATTTCCCGTATAGGTTTTTGACTACAAAAAGAGAACCGGAATGGCAAAATTGATGGCTTCTGCATTCAACTCTGCTAGGGGCTCTGCTATGGACTGACTATACAAGACCGAACATCAAATTGAGACTTCCAAACATGTAGGTCTTCAGAAGACGAAACCGAGTTTGTGGCATAGAAAAAAAAAGCATTAGGAAAGTTGTAGAATTTAAAAGATGAATACTTTTCTTCTTCTTCCTCTTTTCTCTACTCCTGGAATGCCTCGCGGCGTCAGGGCAGGTAGAGATCTCTGGAACGGGTCCTTCTGTTCGCTTTGTACAAACTACTTTCCAGTGTCTTTGATACTCCTCGGTCTGTCAATTTGCGTGGTGGATCTTATGTTCTGTTACCACTGTAGTTGTTCAACTATGCTGTGTGGAATTATAACATGACAGTTGACTGCAGAAGATGGAGCATCAAACGGAGACTCCTAAACATGTAGGTTTTCAGCAGACGATAGTGAGTTTGTGTGGCAGAAAAAAAAATGTAAGCAAATTTGTGGAAATACTGAATTTAACAGAAAATTGCTTTTCTATTGAAGTACAACAATGGAGACTGTTCGACAGAAATTAAAAGGAGGATGGCCATAACAATGCAAAGATTGAACAGCCTTAAGAGTCTATGGCTAAGCACCAGCAAGGAGATAAAAATTAGAATTTTGAGAGCATGCATCTTCCCTGTAGCTACATACGGATGTGAGTCGTGGACTATCTCTCAATCCTTAAGAAAGAGAATAGGGGCTTTTGAGCTAAAATGCTATAGAAAGATTCTCAGAATATCTTGGACAAAGAAAGATGAGAAATATTGACATCTTAAAAGATCTGAACATCAAGGAAGATTGGCTAATAAACAGCATCCTTTCTCGAAAGCTGAAATATTTTGGTCATATCAAGCGCCAAAACCGATTGGAAAAAATTATAACAGAAGGCATGGTACCAGGAAGGAGGGGCAGGGGCAGGGGCCGACCTACACGAAGATGGGCGCAGGATATAAGTGACTCCTTGAGTGTGAAAGTTCATGGGGCGGGAGAACTGGCAAGAGACCGAGTTTCTTACAGGCAGACTGTGATGAGAGCGACGTTCTGCAAAGGACCTGCTACATGATGATGTTTGAAGTAAACACGAGAACATGGTTCTTTGAGTGGCATCAATGTAGAATTGTGCAAGCCCTGTACTCCGGCCAGTAGTGGCTTGACTGGAACGGGCGATTGACAAGGCTTGACAAGACACATAACTTAAAGCTAGTAAGACGGAATATAGCGTTAAAGTAAACTAAGCGGCAGACTAAAGAAATAGAGAAGGACAAGGAGCCAGACTAAGTGGACCGAACGTCACCAACGCTATATAGTCATGCGGAAGAGAGTATTATTAGAAAAAGACAAACTGACGATTTTTGTTAGATATGTAATTCAACTATAGCGGAGTGAACTTCTTTTTGGCAATTAGGCCTCACTACGCAGAGGTAGTATAGTGTGCAGTAGCACAACTGCATTTAGGAGGATTACGCATAAAAGTACCGATTTTATAATTTAGGAATTGTGATTGTTATTGTTGAAGTCTTGTTATTCAAGAAGACCTGCAAAGTGAGTTGTTCACAATGTATTCACGGATAAAGGATTTACTGACAGTTAAAAACAGAACAACTATTTTAGAAGCCTTATGATGAACTTGGTATTGAGACTGAGAGTCAGAGTACATCTGCTTGAGGGGCTAGGAACCAGCAGTCTGCAAACAAATGAGTCAAATCTGTAAAACGGATGCACACGCAACACTCAGGTTCTGAAACAGGACTGCACTCCAGAAGTGGATGAACAACCATAACTTTCCGCCAGAATTTACAGCTAGTGAACGCGAAGAAGAAGAAGAAGAAGAAGAAGAAGAAGAAGAAGAAGAAGAAGAAGAAGAAGAAGAAGAAGAAGAAGAAGAAGAAGAGGAAGAAGAAGAAGAAGAAGAAGAAGAAGAAGAAGAAGAAGAAGAAGAAGAAGAAGAAGAAGAAGAAGAAGAAGAAGAAGAAAGAAAAAGAAGAAGAAGAAGAAGAAGAAGAACAACAAGAAGAACAAGAAGAACAAGAAGAACAAGAAGAACAAGAAGAAGAAGAAGAAGAAGAAGAAGAAGAAGAAGAAGAAGAAGAAGAAGAAGAAGAAGAAGAAGAAGAAGAAGAAGAAGAAGAAGAACAAGAACAAGAAGAACAAGAAGAACAAGAAGAACAAGAAGAATCCGATATGATACAGTAAATCAGAGGCCACTCATGGCCAGTTGTTCATGACCGGTCAGACCTGCAGTCATTTAGGCAGACACTGCCACATAGGTCAGCACTTTCACAACACTGAGTTATCAGGTTACATTTGCTCTTCTTAGGATAAGGTTTGTATCCTTCCCAATGCCCTTCTCCGCTTGAAGCCCTTAGTAAAAATGGGTTGTCAGGTTACAATGTAAGCAAAAAATGTGATGTGGAATGACTAAATAAACACAGAACCCAACAAGAAAGCATAGGAAAAGCAAGAAACGCAGATGGCAAGCGAACGTTTCCACCAAATTATTAATCAATGAGCAAAGTATTGAATACTTAAGTACTAAAACAAAATGAAATATCTCTGTGTGGGATTTGGGACCCCATTGTCGGGAGGGGGGGGGCTGATCCAAGGCTCCCTAAAAAGCATGTTGTAGGAGTCGACTAATATGAATATTTCCTTCAAAATCAGAGTATGTGTGCATGAGATACAAGGAACAAACAGTCTGCAAACAAATAAGCCAGATCTGTAAAACAGATGTGCAGGCAAAACTCAGGTTCCGAAACAAGACAAAAGCCCAGAGGTGGACCAATAAACAGAACTTTCTGCCGGAGCTTAGAACCAGTGAAAGCCAAGGAGGAGGGGGAGGAGAAAAAGAAGAAGAAATGGAATAATCGCAGAGAAAATTTACGTATTTCACACAAAAAGAAAACCCGATAAATGAAATAACAGAACAAAGTGCATGAATACACTATAAACACCACAGAAAGCACTCACTGTAGTATTTACATTAAATGCAATTGTTCAGAAAAAAGTACAAATTAAAATCAAGTTAGTTGCATATATTTAAAAAAAAACACATTTGTCTTCTCTTTCCAAGCGGTTCAGGAATATTGTTGCTAGTCCATGACGAATGAAAAAGATCATTTTTATCCAAAGTAGCACTGATCAACGATTATGAGTTCGATTGTGGCTTAATAGTCCAATATGAGCCTGGAAAGTTCTTGAGCAGTGCGGACAATAGGTGGAAGCTGCGGTAAGTGTAAGATTAGCAATAAGGTTCTTTCTAGTCTGTCTCCGTTTCTCTGCTTGTGCAACCTCCGCTGCCTAGAAGGCCTCAGCAGGTAGATCATTAATACCTGCTGCCTTGATGGCCTCAGCAGGTAGATCATCAATGCCTGTTGCCTTGATGGCCTCAGCAGGTAGATCATCAATACCTGTTGCCTTGATGGCCTCAGCAGGTAGATTATCAATGCCTGTTGCCTTGATGGCCTCAGCAGGTAGATCATCAATGCCTGTTGCCTTGATGGCCTCAGCAGGTAGATCATCAATACCTGTTGCCTTGATGGCCTCAGCAGGTAGATCATCAATACCTGCTGCTTTGATGACATCAGCAGGTAGATCATCAATGCCTGTTGCCTTGATGGCCTCAGCAGGTAGATCATCAATACCTGTTGCCTTGATGGCCTCAGCAGGTAGATCATCAATACCTGTTGCCTTGATGGCCTCAACAGGTAGATCATCAATGTGTGTTGCCTTCCGCCTAAGGACAGTATGAATGACAATTTGGATTTTTAAAAGCACAAATAACGTTTCAAAATTACTTGTCCACTGTTCAGTCTATTTGTAAGTTACAACAATCTAATTTACAGTCCGGGTGT